CTGGAGTTTGGGTTTGGAGAGGTTAAAGGCTTCTCGGATTTCGAGGGGTTATGGCGGCTGGGAATCTGTTGGGTTGATCCTGGGCCTGAGGTCTTTGCAGCGACCAAGGTTACCGGAAAAGCTTCTCGAAGATGTTCGGAAAGATTCGCAATTCGTCGTGGACGTCCCGACAGGCGAGTTAGTCCGGGGACAGGCATTCGGCTCCAAGTCCGCCCCGACGAGCAGTTGTGCCGCAGTCCGCGGCCTGGCGGCTTTGACCCCGCCCGGGCGGCGTGCATCTTTTCGGTTCAAGAAGATGTCGCGGAATCAGAGAAAGCGGCGATGTGGTGATCAGCTAACACAGGCGAAGCACTGAGATGCGTTTGCTAGCATTTTGTCTGCAGAAGCGAGAGTGTGGGCGTGCGAGAGGCCGAGTCGGTCGCAGTAGGGTCCTCAACACAACTACGGGGTGTATTCCGCAATTCAGCGGCGTTTGATTTCCAACAACCCTAGAGTAGCTCCAAAACCTCAGGCCCTACCTTCTGGGTCACTAGACTCTACATATCCTATGCGAACCCGTAGGAACCCCAACAGAACCCTTAAACCCCCAAGCCCAAACCCCTAAACCCTGAATGAGCCGTCGGGTTTCCAAAGTCTGTGACTCCGGCAGGCGTCGCAGGCAGCCGCGGCCGTTTCACAGGCAGAAGCCGAGGTCGGCAACGGATTCGCCCTGTTTTAGAGGGTTTCCTTGAAGGTAAGAGAGGGGCGGGTATAACAGCTTACAGAAGGGTTTATCAGAGGTTGTGCATGTTGTAGGGCTTGGATGGGCCCGGAGTTTCAAAGCGGTGTTGAGGGCTTTCCGGACTTTGGAGATCAGTGTCTAGGGCAGCTTAGCGGTTGATGAGGGATTTGTGACGTTTGCTGTGCTTCTGACAGAATCCTCAGAAATTATCAGCGAAATTGTGTAGCCCCTTTGTCCATCGAGCAAGCTTAATCCCCCTACAGCCCTGATCAGGTCTAAGGCCCAAACAACGCACGCCTCATTGAACACCCTTCAAAACCGTGCCCCAGCACGATTTCGGATTCCTGGGAGCAAAACCCCCGGAGGCTGCGGCTGCCACGCAGGACGCCGTCGTGGCGCTGGCAGCTCAGCAGGCTGCCGAGGCGACCTTGGGCTCTGTTTTTCAAGGGGCCTGCGGTTTGAATTATGTTGGCGGTTAGAACTCTTTTTTTCAGTATTTCAGATTACGGGTGAGTGAAGTGTTCAGGATGTCGGCTGTACTGTTCGCGGCCGGATTTGGGGTCAGTGTTGAAGTCTGGGGCTAGGGATTAGTATGGGGCCAGAGCTTCTGATCCCAAACAAATCCGCCAATAACCACCTGAAGCCCGTAGTCGTGGGCCGTATCCCCAGCTTCAATGCCCTTAACCCTTGAAGCCTCCAAAATCCCCCCCCTCGAAGCCTTCAAAAGTGACTCAAGAGGCTGGCAGGCGTCGGCTGGAGGCGCGGCGTTGTTCAGGTGGAAACTCGAGGTTTTGCAGGTAAAAGGTCAAAAAAGGCTTTAGAAGTGTCGAGGACTGAGCTTCGGGATCTCGAGTTTTGGGGTTGCGACCGGAGGATTTAGAGTTCAGGAAGAGTGTGGCATGCCTGTAGGGAGCCAAGAGAGACCGGTAGCGGTGGTAGCGGTGGTGTGGTGTTGTTTTTGTTTTGGTGGTTGCTGGTGTGGCTTCCGGTCCTGGTCGTGGTGAAGGCCGAGCTCGCGGACCTTCGCGAGCGAGCGCGCTGTGATGAGCCTGCTCGTGCCCGAGCATCTGGGTGTGGCCTTCGGGGTACAGAAGGTGCTGTTTTTGTCCGCGCTGTTTTGCTCGATGTTCTGCGCTTCAAAAGTGTTCGGGTCGGCGCCAATGTCCTATGGTTTCCCATATCAGCAAGAAGCTCATACTAGTGCTTCATGAGGTCTGCATTGAGTTTGCGTTCCGATTCCTGGATGTAGAGCCCTGAGCCAGACCCCCGAACAAACGGGACACAAGGTGCTGACTGCAACTGCTTAGACGAAGGTTGCCCGCAGTCGTGGGTCTGGCTTCAAGTGCACTTGGAACCTGATCACTACCTGCAGCCAAAGTGGAGGGCCCAAGGAAGCAAAGAAGCTTCCAGATGAGATGTAACACTTTGAGCCTCCAGCCATGAACCTTAGAAAGGCTCGAAGCCCAACTCCTTGAACCTCTACTCCCAGTAGAAAAGGAAAGGCCCTATGCCTCAAAGCCTGACACATGCAGCCCTAAACCTGAAAATTCATACACTCTCAAGGGTCAAAGGCTACAAGCAAGCTTCCGAGGAGACCTCGTCGACGACCCAAAGCAGCCCTCGGACCCTTGACTGTACCACCCAAACCCCGTCGAACCTTGAACTCGTTCCGACGCGAGCCATGGCACCATCTGGAGGTCCCGGCTTTTATTCATTGTACTGTGCTTCCTTGGTGTCGTACTTGGTAGCCTTATCACCATTAGTCCGCAATTTTTTTCTGCTGTACTCTTCTCTTGTGAGTCGCCCTGAGGGGGCAGCTTGGGTCCTAAAGCCCGAAACCCTGAAGCCGAAAGCGTCTTACATCGTTTATCCTCCCCGCGGTCGTTTGGTGGTTTTGTGGCCTTTGGATTTTCTTTGGAGGAGAACTGAAGGGCCTGTCTTTCTTACACTAAGGCACTCATCGCAGAATCCTGTTAAGACCCCGGAGACTTCAAGGAAACTCGGTGAGCCACTAGGCGGAGCTCTGAGGGTGCTGGGTTGTCCGCAAACTGAGGTCGGGGGCTTGAATGTAGTAAGGGTACTCCTTGGCGGTTTCATCACATATATCTTGGAAGCAGTGAAAGTAGTCAGTCCCCTGTATTGTCCCTGTTGGAGTTGTTGTACTGGCTATGAACCGTGGAATCCTTAGTCCTGAAGCCTTCTCTGGCTCGAGGCGTCGATTTGTCCCAGATCTTCGGTGGCGAATGGCCTGCAGGCTGAGTTAAATGTGCGATACTGACGCACGTGCAGCCCGAAAGCCTTGTTACCTAAGCTACTTAGACCTCTGGAGCTCGATCAGGCAAGCCCCTGGATGAACTGTATCTCGAGCGGCTGCATCCGAGTCTCCGAGCGATGTTCGCGCGAAGCCGAGTTTTCGGCTAGGTTTGATTCAGGGTTTTTTGGGGTTTTGTGGATTGGGGCGGGTTTTAGATCTAGGGCCGGGGTTACGGGCTTTGGGTCCGTGACTTAGGGGGAAGTTTGGAGGCTAATGCAGTGTTATGTCCTCAGGGGCTTTGGCAGACGAGCTTCATGCATTGACAGGTTCAAGGCGGTGCCCTAATGTTTCACACAGCACGGATCCTGGAGCCGACAACAAGTAAATGACGACCATCTTGAGTCACAGGATAGGCCTTACTCGTATTTCGCAGGGACCTTGGAGTTTAGCAACCTCGGTTGGTTTCGTGTCCCACAGGGATGTTTGGCAAGACTCTGTGAGGCGTCCTCGCCGACGCTGAAGGCGATGTGGCAGCACGAGGCTCGCGCGGCGGATGCAGAGCTCAGGATTGTTGATCTTGTATAACATATTCGATAAGCTTTTTTCTTGCACAGCCTGCCGAGAGTTGCAGGATTTCGGGGTGGTTCAGTCATTCCTAGGGTTTGCTGGTTCAGCGTGGCGTGATTCCCAGGCCACGCAAGGACTGTCACAAGGTGCAAGGTAGCTTTTGGGTATACTGTTATCATCTTTTATCATTACCATTACTATCAGCATTTGGCATTGCTACTGTTCTGAATTATGACTCTGGTGCATCACGAAACAGCTATACCTGTTGTGGCCCGGTTTGACATAGTACGGACGGCTGGGAAATTTGAAGCGACTCCCGATTGTCACAGGCAGAGTTCGCAAAATGCAGTACTCAGTCCGTTGAGCGGTGCGTGATGGCTTTCTGAGAAACTTGCTTTGCTGAGCACTGGAGATCTCTGCTTGGCTGCTGTCTTGAGTTCTGCCTGGCTTCAAGAACATCTGAAGTACCGCATTCTACCAGCTTATACCCGAAACCTAAACCTCGGAAGCTAGTAACAGCTAGGACCGGATGTCTGTGTGTCAATACATTCGCTGCAAGGTGAAAGCAGCCCTCGATGGCATGTGGGGCACTCAGGGGACCATCGCAGCTGGCGATGGACTAGCGTTGGCTTGAGAATTATTGAATTTGAGGCGAGTTGAGCATAGAGGAAGTGAGTTGTGTGCGCGGTGCGCTGGAAGGTTTCTTCCGGAAATCTATGTGGAGGGTCGGATAGGGTGTCTCATCGCTCGTGCTGTGCAAGGCTTTGGTTAAGTCCCCCTGAAGTCCCCCTGAGCAAACTCATGAACCCTGCGCATCTGAACTCCCTAGACTTGCATTAAACTCCAAAACGCTAAACCATGAAGGGATTGTAGGACTCCACAGCTGCGAGCTGCACAGGACCACAGACGATGTCTCCAAGCTCAATCCGTGACTTAGCCTCTGCAAGTCGTTGTGGCTTTGGGCTTATAAGTTTTAGGGCTTTAGGGGTTTAGGGCGTGGAGTTGAGCCAAACAGTTTCAGTTGTAGGAGTGGGAGGGTTGTGGGGGTTTGGTTTTCGTTCAGGAGCAGGCTCTCACAAACAGACTTTCCGGATAAGCCGCATAAGCGCGCATTGGCCTCTGACTTAACCCGCAATAAGACCTATTTCACGATTGGGCCCTTGCTAATGGTCTTCAGCCGGATGCCTTGAACTTAGTGAGGGGTTGATTGCCGTCTCCTCGGCAATCGACGCCACCACGGCTGTAACTGTAAGAGAAGTGTAGGGTTTGTGAGGGCGTATCTCTCAATCTTGACCCCCAATTGAATTCTGCTGTGTCTGGGGTGTTTGGCGATGCCAGACAAAATATCCTGACCAAAGACAAGATGCAGAAGCGCACGCACACAAACACGCAACCACACATTTTCGCACACATACCCCCTGCCTACCTACCAACATACATGCATCCACCCATACATGCATACATACCTACATCCGAACATCCACACACACACACACACACACCTGCGTGCTCACAACCCGAACAACCCTGGCCTTCTGGTGCTTTCTGGCAGCTCGTTTTCTTGAGAGCCCAGGAACCAGCTTAAGCAGCTCATGGAAGCGGAGCCTCTCGTCTGAGCCATGGGAGTGTGTAGAAGAGTTTATGGCTCAGGATACGTAGCGTGTTATTGATACTTCTATGACGGCTATACAAGGGCTAGAAGACTTCTTGAACCCTTCTGCTAAGGCTCACGAGTGGTTTAACGCTTCAGGGTTCTATGGTTTATGATCCAGGGTTTAGGTGTTGAGGGTTCAGACATGGCCCGGCAGTCCTCATGGCCCCTTTTCGATCTAGTCTGTGTGTCAAGTGTAGACACCATCGTTCATGAAACCAAACCGCAAACCGCGGACCCTAAACTCTTATATAAACCTGTGAATTTTCTGGAGTCCCAAGGAGTTCTTGCTAGGCACTCGCACTTCATGCAAAAGTGTATACTCAGATTAGATCTTGACCTTTCCCTACTTGCCAGAGCCCCAAACCCCAGGAAGGAGGTTGACGCACGCATCGACGAGGTGAACAAGATGGTGGAGGCCTGATGAAAGTTTTTTAATATAGTCACAGTTAATTTTTCAGTCCTCAGCCCTAAATCCCAAAGTCTTCGAAGAGAGACAGGACCACGGCGAAGCGGTCGAACACCTGAAAAACCTCTTTGCGGGCAACGCGATGGAGAGTGGGCTGGGTGTGGGAGGCATCGCGATTGCAGAAGAGCAGGTTTGGTATCTGGGGATATGAAAGTATCCCTAGATTCCCTAGATCTTTGGAGCGAGGATCCTTCTGTCAAGGGTTCTAGATTACGGCTACTTGTTTTCTGAAGCTACCACTTCGGAAGACTCCGGAAGGACTTAGATTGATTTTGCTCTGGGTCTCAGGATGTGGGCGTTTTGGCCTTAGACCATCCTAAACCCTGAAACCCTATTGAAGACCTAAATGCCAGAACAGGGTTGAGGGCTCGCCCTCGGCTGGAATGTCATTCCTATGCGTATAAGCTCATGGTGCGCAGCCCTAAATCCGTCAGTTTCACGCGTAACTTTCCACATCGTACAGCCACCGAAACAGGCGCAAAAACATAACAGCATTGAAAACCCGCCCTCTTGCAGGGTCATGACCTTCCAGAGTTTAGGTTCAGAAGCTTCCTCCGGGCTCCTAAAGAGCCCAGAATCGCCCATTTCTCCGAGGTGTCTTCCTGGGCGCTTGGGTGCCAGGTGAACCCGCCAGGCCTCTGAGTTCGGGGGTTTCGGTGTTTCCTGAGACCCCAACAAGATCCACGAAGAATTTCAGTTGAAGCCTATGTCCGGAGACCCACACCCCAACACCCTCAGTCAGTAAACCCTGGGTTGCTGCTTCGGGTTCAGGCTGCGATGTCTCCCATGGCTTGCACCTTTCACTTGGGGGTGGGGTGGTTTGGGGTTGCGGTCGGTGGCCCCGGAGGCGAGCAGCCCGGCGTTGCGGACAACACTTCCTGTGACGCCTCGCCTTGCTTGGGAAAACAGCTTGGGCTTGGGTTCAGGCTTTGGGGCTGAAGGTTTAAACACTTAGGTTGCGGTTTCGGGGTTTAAGGCTTTGGGAGGTTAGGGATTTGGGGATCTAGGATTCAATTTTATTTGAAGTTATTTGGAGCCGACACATGTGCAGTCTGAGGGCTGTTTGGGGCTCACAGACGGGCGGACTTTGACTGGAGCCTCCATGATCTACAACTTCCTGAAGCATCACAGTTCGGTCAGAAGGAGACGGGTGGCCCTTCACATCACCAGGAAGCCTGCAGCGGAAGTAAGGCATCAGTGGAGTGTCGGAACTCAAGCCCCATTGCATTTTGACCCAGAGCAGCCACTCTTGGTTCGCTTCGACCTACTGCTAGGTTAGGGTTTAGAGGATAAGGCTAAGAGACCTTCTCACCTAACCGAGAAGAGTCTGTCATCCGTGCCTGCGACGGAGCCAAAACGTTTGGGTAGACAACGTAGAGGCCATGTGCCAGATCCTAGCTTAGTGTCGCATCGCGATCCTGCCGCAGTGCCGTGGGGTGTCACACCTGCTTAGCACCTTCATGGTTGAGGATCGTGGAAGATGACCCTTGACTTGAGAAGAGAAGCAGAAGCCCAGAAGTCCAAGCAGAGGCCACCAAGCCGGTCAATCAGCAGGCCGACTGGCAGGCACGGTGCCCAGGGTGCGCATGCTTGCTGGATCCAGGGGGAATTCGCCACAGCGTTTACTTTGATAAAGCTAAGCAGCCTGCATCCAATCCGAAGCTCTGAGCTCGCGAAGTCGCAGCTTCTGCACACGGAATTTCTGACTCCCCAGCTTTGAGGCTGGACCCCAGGCCCTGAACCCCAAATCCAAAATCCACAACCGCCGGAAAGCAGCTGCTCAACGACAGTACTGCCGACAAGATCGCTACATTTCTAAACCTTGACTCTATGCCCGAAGCCTCAAATCCCGAACCCCAAGTTCCAAAGCCATAAAAGGCTCTATAACATGCCTTAACACAATGCCAGCTGAGTCGCAGGCCGTGCGTCGGAGGGAGGCCGCGTGCATTGAGGAGGCCGGAACACACCGCTGTCAGTTTCTCCTGAAATTGTGTTTAGGGTTCAGGTTTTGTTTGAAGTTTCGGGTTCTATGATTTCGCGTTTATGTTTAGCTCGCTGGGCTCTGGGCTTTAGGGTTCTTGGCAATTCGTTGAAACCGTATGTAAAGATTTCGAGCATCTCCCGGAAACTCAACATCCGATGATTCCATTTTGACGGCTATGCCACCCTCAAGGTACTGTTCACTTTTCTGTCGGGGTTGGGCTACAGGGACCTCTTCGAAAATGCCCTTCCTCAGCAACTTTTGATCCTTCAAACAACCGTGTCCATAAATTACAGATGCCCTCGAACATCTCGAGCCCTACACAACCATCCCTCACCCGCATCAAGAAACAACGCACCCGGGTCTCCGCCTAAATTTATACAGTCCCGCACCCTCCTGGAATCCCGAAACCACCGAAAACATGCTCCACTGCAGATTTCACGCTTCACTTTGACCAGATCCAATCCCCTAAACCCTTTCACTCTTAAACCCCTAAGCCCTGCAACCCAAGACCCCATTCAAACATCGATTCTGCAGCCTCTGATTCTGGAGCAAATTTTGAGATCCTTCCCCCGCTTTTTCTACACCATGGCCGAGCCTGCTCAGAAGAAAGCCCGACGCCTGCCTTTTACGGCTTGGGGTTCAGGGCTTCAGGGTTTAGTCCATGCGACACCCACGCATGGACTTAACACTTGTCTTTTGTCGTTGATCGAGCTCAGGGTTTAGGTCTGCCTGTTTTGGTCTATATATATATATATATATATACATAGGGCACTCTCTCACTTTGTGGCTCTCGATCTTGGACTATGGGTTTGTCGTGGATTTGGGACGTCGGGCTCCGTCCGTCTCTCTGTGTGTGTGTGTGTTCTTTTGGACTTAGACTTGTCGTGTTTATGGCTTTGGATTTTGGATCTGGGTTATGGTTTGGGCTTCAGGGTTACGTTGTTTGAGCGTGCACAGGTTGAGAGGGTATAGAGGGCCTGTTGAGGAGTCTGCAAAGCCCGAAATCTCAGTTCCTTGCAGTGTACTTGCCTCAAGTCGACGGGTTCGAGGTTATGCATGGGTGTCAACTTGAATCTGCCTCCATGATTGCATAATTCCATACTGATTGCCATCAGCTACACTGGTGAGGTTGCTAGGCTGCTAGGACTTTAAGTTACAGTGGACCCGAAACGTCTCTTTAAAGCCTGCGAGTTTCCTCTTCTGGCTTTGAGCTGGTGGAAGCCGAGGAACCACCCGCACCTTCCTGTTCTCTTCGGAGTCTGTGCGCCTTGGTGTTGTTGAGATTCGGACGTGGTTGGAATCAAGCGTCGTTCTTTACCTGTTGAACTCATCACCTTCGAGGTTTACGGAGTTGGACGCTATAGTGTGGAAGATGCACAGCCTTCCAGGAACGAGGGCCACCCGGACAAGATCTGCGATCAGGTCTCCGATGCAGCAACCCGGTCAATGATGACGTGTGTATGTAGCGCGGTCCCTGCAGCAAGAACAGCAGCAACGGCATCACTGCGATGAGAGTATTTACTAAAGGTGTGAGTTCTCGCAGAGCTTTGTCTGCCTAGTAACTAGTATGACTCGGCTGTCATTGTCACTGGCATTTGTTCCCAGCATTTTCGTCGTCGTCGCTTTTGGTTGTGATTGGCAGTGCTTGATCTCCGCGGGCTTCCCGCTACTGTAGCCAGCACATTGCTTGGTGATGTTTGGTGATGTTCCAATGTAGGGCTGGACAGGGTCAGCCGTTGAACGCAAGTACATTCGGTTGGATGGATTGTCTGCGCAGTTTCTCAAAACCTTAAGCCCTGAATTCCAGCCCCTAGATCCTTAAAAGCAGCGGAAGTTCAAATTGCGGACACCATAGCGGCAGAACTAACCCCAGAGCCTTAAACGCTCAATCTACAACACTCAGTTCAGCATAGACCGTCGATGTCGACTGTTGCCTTTGACCCGAGGTCCTGGATGCATGCCTGAAGGTGGATCCCAAGAGCAAGGTGGCCTGCGAGACCGCCACCAAGGACTCCCTGAGACAGAGAGACTTGTGCCTCTTTGTTGTTCGTTTACTGTCAGTTTACTGTCATGCGCTCACAGTTCTTCATAGTATTCCTAGTACGGAGATGAAGGCGACGGGTGCATTGCCGCATAACCATTCTACTTGCAAACCCCAGTGCTCTTCTGTTCTACGAGTTTGGTGGGTGTCTAGGGCTGCATTAGGACAACATGGTGATGGTCGCCGGAGAGATCACCACGGGCGCAGCTCTGGACTACGACAAGGCAGGGCTACTGTTGATGGGCACGGTTCCTGCATTGCTCATAATACGTTTACGGTATACGGTACTGTGTTGTCCTAAGCCTTGGGAGCCCAGGAACCCCTCTCCGAAGGACCCGTTAACTGCAGCGATTTCAACACCCCTAATCCCTGAACCCCTATCACAGAATGGGAGCTGACAGGTTGTGCGAGGCGTCGTGGAGCAGATTGGCTTCGACAGCTTCGTCGATGACCTGCCGCCTGCCTGTAAGACAGCATGAAAGTTCCTCAGTTCCAATCCCTGAAACACGTACTCTTGCCACGCACAGCGCAGGTCCAGCGTGGACAGCAAGGGCTTGAGCTACAAGACCTGCGAGGTGTTTGGGTGTGTGTGTGTGTGTGTGTTGTGTTGCATGCATGCTTGCGTGTGGAGTTGTTGCGGAGCTCAAGCTTTCATTCTCTGGGCTGCACATTGCAAAAACCGGGATCCAGATCTTCCCCCCTCCAAATTGTTTAAGCCTGGGAAGAGCACCCTCCCCCAATCTGGTTGCTTGAGACTTGTTATCGGAAACGAGTTTGCCAAAACGAAGAACCCCTAAAACCCCAAGCCATGAAACACTGGAACCTAAACGCCAAAAGCATAAAGCCCCAAGCCTGAAACGCTAGAATCCCAAGCAAACGCCACTTCTTGTAAAGCCCTCAGCACCTCAAGACCCCCGAAAGCCTGAACCCCCAAGCCGCTCAGACGTGCTCATGGTATGCCTCAACTTTTTGGCCTGCACCCTAAAGCGGCAAAAAACCACAAAACCCTGACAGAATCCCTAAACTTCCAAAGCCCTGGCCCAAAGAGCTGCAAACCCCGAAGCCTTGACTAGGTCTTGGTTCGCATCAACAAGCAGAGCCCCGACATCGCCGGGGGTGTGCACGTGGGCAAGGACCAGGGCTTGGGCTGTTTTCGACTTCGGGGCCTTCAAGGTCTTTGAAAGAGGGATCTATGTAGGTCTTCCGTCTAGAGTTTTGTAGGCTTTCCTTTGCGTTGTATAGGCTTGCTTGTCCTGTTTGACACGAAGACAACTTGTGAAAGCTCGCCTATCAATTTTTAAATTGATTGATGGAGCTCAGCTGGTCAGGGAGCGGGTTAACGATTAAAAAGCTCTGCAGGCAATTGAACCACGAAACTGTCAGAACGATCATGGCACTTGCTACCTGATTAAATGGAAGCTTCGGAAAAGAAGGGACCCTGAATGATAATGGACTGCAGAAATGAAGTGTACTCACTATGAGGACCTCTACAGACGGAACCCTAACTTTCGGAAGCGCCGAATAAAGAACTGCGTCCACGTACGCCGCAGGACGACATGGATGTCGGCGCCGGCGATCAGGGTATTATGTGGCTCGCAGCAGTTAAAGGTTGTGAAAAAGCTCCGGCCCTATGCTGGCATATGTGGCAACTTCTGTTCACATTTCGAGCATCTGGAAGAAAGCCTGACATTCCTACTTCCATCAATATGAAGGGTCTGCATGTGTGTCGCGTGATCACAAGGTGATCACAAGACCGAAACCCAAACTCTAAAGTGCTTGCACTCCACTCGAAAGCGATGCCTACATGCGACTTTAGGAAATTGCAGACTCGAAGCCAGGAGCCAAAGCTGTCGTCATATCTTGCTAGGCAATTTTTGCCATGCGAAAGCTACAGCGTCCTCTGTGAAGCCTTGGGGTCGTTAGGAAACAGCCTTTGACGCCCGGAGCGGGACTGCACTTTGCTAGACGAGTCAGTCCCGAATATCAGAAACCAAGATCCCGTAAGCACCATCAGCGCCATAGGCTCTCCATGCCCAGGACCAGAACGCCGGTGAACCCCCATACCCCCCCAACCCGGCCCTGACGTAGCTTGCGACACCCTAAACCCTATAAACCCTAAGCCCTAAGCCCTAAACCCTGAAGTCCAAACCCCTGAGCCTTAAGCCCTAAAACCCAAGCTTTGATTGTGAGGTTCGGCTATGCCAGCGATGAGACCTCGGACTGCAAATTCGGCCGCACTGAGCTCTGAAAGCCCCACACCCTCAACACCTCTTTTTACACCCGCGCCGCCCCAAATCGTAAACCCTTAAGCCCTAAACCCCTAAAGAACCTGCGCAGCTCAGGCATGCCCTTGACCCATTCCATGGCCACGCGCCTGGGCAAGACGCTGACGGAGGTCCGCAAGAGTGGCATCTCGGTCGTACTCCTTCTTGGCTGTCAGCTCTAAACCACTGAACCCTTAATCCCGCAGCCTAGAGTAGCGGTTCAGCAAGTGCGGTTTCGGGTTTGGGGGACCCAGGCCATGAGTCACGTTAGCGAATCGTCTAAAGAAAGCCTTCCGTCTTCGAGCGAGTGAAATTTAGAGAGAGAGAGAGAGAGAGAGAGAGAGAGAGAGACTGAGAGAGTGAGAGAGTGAGAGAGATGAGAGTGGGAGAGTGAGAATTAAAGAGTCTCAGGTCCAATACCGGTTCTGAAGGGGGGCCGGATACAGCAGCGGTGCGATCTCAGGCGAGTGCTGGTGGCTCCGCCCGGACGGCAAGACTCAGGCTTCGAAGTCTAGGGGTTAGGCCTCTTGGACTTGAGGCTTCAGGGGTTTCAGGATTTCGGCCACGTGTTTCTGAAAGTTTGAGGCCATGTGAGGGCTGTCTTGGGGTTTCGAGTTCTGGCGGTTTGGGGTTGACGGTTCGGGACTTCGCCTGGGGTTACGGTTGTAGCCCTGACGTCTCGTGGTTTTGCCGAACCGCCTTAGGGCTTGGGGCTTGGCGTTGACCAACCCCAACTCTAAACCCGAAGCTCCAAGGGCACAGGAGCAACCAAAGTAAGGAATATCGACGGCGCCCAACACCCCCATCTCTACACCTCAAAACCTAAAACCTCGAACCCGCAAAGCCTCTTCGGATGGGGGAAGGTGACCATCGAGTACCTGCAGCATCCGGATGGCTCCGTTGAGCCCAAGAAGCTTGGCCTAGGATTCAGGGCCTTTCCTCGATTCAGCGTACAGGACCTTGATGCTTTGCGCACAGTGTTTCGCGGTTTGGGCGTTTACTTTAGGGCTGACAGGGTTGGGAGTTCGGCCTTCATTGATACAGGGGTGAAAGGCTTTAGTATCTACGTTCATGGGACAGGATTCACAAGTTTTGGGATGTAATTGTTCATTAGTTCAGGTCTCAGTTGACGGACTCGAGTGTTTGGAGTATCAGGCTTTTGCGGTGGTTCTGCGCTGTACGATCAGTGTATCCTACGCTCCTCTCTCGGATACCTGAGGTTAGGGCTTGAGGGTTTCGAAGCTCACGCTCGAATCCCTAACAAAGTTGAAATTGAAGCGTAAACTTGCCGTAAACCTTGGTAGAGCTGCTCGGCCCGGCTAGTTTTTTGTGTCAGCCTCCTCCGCAGGATCTTGTCGTACTGTCCGCCATTGCATGCAGTTTGTGCAAACGGGGACCTAGAGTTTCAGTGGACACCATGCTGCCTTTGTTCGGATGTTCGGAGTTAGTGATCCCCATTTCGAAGCCAAACACAAGCCGTGGACCTCACCGGAAAGAAATAGAAAACGGTCCCAACCCTGAGCACCAACCTCTTTGCTGCACAGCAAGAGCCGTTCAGCTGATACGGAAGATCCACACTATACAGTGCAATGAAATGTGTTTTTGCATCGATGCAAAACACACTACACTGGATGGTCTGAAAAGGAAGATCCACACCGTGGTCATCTCGACGCAGCATGCGGAGCCCACCAAGGCCAAGCGCACGCAGGCGAGAACTGTGGGTCTGATTCGAGTTTCAAGTGTGCTGTAAGGAAGGGTTAAAACAAGTTCTAGGAGGGTGTTCATAGATGTTGATAGAATCTTGACAAAGGTTTCTTCTCTTGGAGGGTGCTAGCTGTTATTGTAATGGTTAGATCATGTTAGATTGCCATTACCACTGTGAGTCTGAACAGCATTTGTGTTCTTGTCATATTCACCTCCCATATGATCACAGGGTTGTTGGTGCAAACAGGGGCCTGAGCCTCCGATGATGGGAAGAACTTCGATTGGGATAGCGTCGTGAAAAGACACGTGCAGCTTGTACACCAGAAGCATTCGACGCTTGTTATGCGGAGCCCTTGCTTTGGAAGATCTTGGCCGTCAATCAAACCTGGATCCCACCTGCGGCCACTGCTACCACCATCATCATCTTCCTCTCCTCTACCGTCAGCGTTATGAGTGCCATCATCACCATCATCATCACTTGTTGTCGTCATCCTCACTATCATAATCATCATCATCATCATCACCATTTGTCACCACCAGCGTCGCCGTTATCATCATCACTTCTCTTGTCTCATCATCGCCACCCTGATTCTGACCAACATCATCGGCACCCTTCCCGTCCTCTTCCTCGTCCTCATGGTGGCCATCGTCGTCACCGCAGTGCCGTCACAATCGCCATCACAACCGTCAGCACCGGTCATCATTTGCAGTGCAGTCAGCGTAGTCCAGAACTTGAACAGGGTGTCCTCTCTTGCCGAGCCGTGGGAGGAGTGCGCTGGCTACAAGGGTGCCGAGATGACGGCGCCAACCATGGAGCAGATGAACAAGGCGGGGACACCCTGTACCTGGCGCTCAAAGCTCGAGGTATCTCAACGCATGCGCCATAAACCATAAACATCCATAAAGTCTACGTGGTCGCAGATTGGGGGTTGAGGATACGCCGGCGCCAGAGCATTGATTCGATGCGCCGTCGCCGCCGTGGTCGTCTCCGTTGTCGTCTTCGTCGCTCGTCGTCGTCGCAGCAGTAGTACGCACGGAAGTACCAGTTGTGCTTGGTGCTGTTCCGATGACATGATACGGCTCAAAGCCCCAAGCCCGAACAGGAGATCGAGGAGAAGGTCATCAAGCGCACCCTTCAGTCCATCAAGCTGCTGGGCTATGCATCTAGCAATTGAGGTCTACATTTGAGTGGATTGCGTGTCGAGGGTTGAGTTTCTGGGTGGGGTTTTGCGCTAAATGTTCGAAGCAGATTCAACTACGTTCAGGTTCGAATCCTGTAGGTTCGAGTAGGATATAGTAAATGAATCTCAATAACTACTTTGAAAAACGCATTCTTCAGTCTCTCCTTGCTCTTCAGAAGCCCTTTTCTGCTGAAAAGACAGGCTGAAGAACGGCCAGCCCGCCATCAGCCTCTACGGTGCCCACACGCACCTGCACATCAATCCTTCGGGTGCCGAGGCTGCTCTACAGTGCCAGACGCGGAATTTCGGTCCACAAGCGATCGTTTGAGGTTTCCCTTTCAGCTGTCCTTACGGTGGTCTCTTACTCTTGATTCAGCTCAAGGGTTTCGAGGTTTTGGAATGCTGGGCCTTCGGGTCTTGGGTCAATCGAGAACTGGGTGATCCTTGACTCCGCAAGGCCCGAAGACTGCTCCCCAAACACCTGCTCAAGCACCTGAAGCCACTTCGCCGTGCAGCCTGCAATCCGCCAACCCTTGCTTAACAGCTTGATTTCCACTCTTCTTCGAAGCTTTGTGCCCTGAGCCAAAGAACAAACCACTCTGCTTGATCCCTAAAGCCTTCAGCCCTTGCAGCGCTCCAGTTCTGCCTAGGCAAGTTCATCATCGGTGGCCCCCAGGGCGATGCGGGACTGACCGGCCGCAAGATCCTGGGATAAAGCACAGCTCGTGGATTTCGGATTTTCCTGGGTGTCCTGAACTATTTGTCGGGTCGGGTTTCATGGGGCGTAATGTGTCATACTTCGTGCTTTCTGCCTGCCTGTTCCCAGGTGGTACGGTTTGTCTTGAGGACTCAGCCCTGACACCTTAAAGTGTGAGCAGTCCCAAACTTTCAGTTCTTCAGGTACTAGTAGGGGGGTTCTAGGCTCATGCTTGTCCCTTCGACGTGTAACGCACTCACCTGAGGATCATCATCGACACCTACGGAGGTTGCCGGCCAAGAATCTCCTCTTCGTGTTTGGGGTAGTAGTGCGAGAATTCAGATTTGGGTGATTGCTTGCGGTGGAAGGCAGGAGTTCAACACAAGTACAGATACATGTAACATCATGTAACAGCAACAGATCCAGGCCATGGGCCGCTGGAGACGTTCCTGTAAGAGTGCTGCATGAAGTAAGCCGCGCGACTGGGCTGTTGTCAATCATGGGCTCTTGGACAGAGCCGACAAAGCCAAGAACTCGCAAAGCTGAAGCCTTGAGCCGGCACTTCGCCCGTAGAGTTGGAGTTGTCATGACTATAATAACTATCTTGGCCCATGTGCAGCGGTGTTGTTCCGATTCGCGCATTCCGCAGCCTGCTGCGCAACTGTTGCTATGGCTTCTGCCGCGGTCAAGAAAGCAATCCGTTAGACACCCGCATGAAGAACCTTGATTGAGAGGTCCCTGGTCCTTGCCAGACTTCTGAATACGGATCTCAAGTGGGACATAGGACCAGAAGTTTCTTGTTCAGGTTCCAGCGTTAGCTAGTCTCCACCTCGCGAGAACTTCTAAAATCGTTTGCAGGCTGGGGAGCCCATGGTGGTGGCGCTTTCTCCGGCAAGGATCCCACCAAGGCGAGAAATGCGGAGGGAACGCCCCGTCCGGCTTTGCGCGATCACCTTGTATTGAAAACTTGATCTATTGAAACCATTGGCGAGCGCGAGTACTACACTTCATGAGCATCAGGTTTATGGGGATTCCACGGCTTGCATGCAGCTTTTGCAGGACGTGTCGTACAGAGTTCAGTGAGGGTTCAGAGTCAGGGCGTGCATCGGGCTTTACTTTTTTCAATGAGGTTGTTTCCGCTGCAGGGTTCCATAGGCTTCGATGGTGTTCTATAAAGTTGTTGAGAATTTGTGGGGCTGTGTAGGCCCTTCATGAGGTCTCTTCAGGCACGTTTCAGGCACCTGGCGTGCCAGGGACGGTCACGTAGGACAACCCCTACGTTCTGCAGGTGGATCGCTCTGCCGCCTACATTTGCCGACAGATGGCCACTGGCTCGTTGTGCAAGTTCAGGGGTTGGCAATGCTGGCACTTTGCCATGAGAGTTGGTGGACTATTTGTTCTGAGGGGGGCTGTGAGATGGCTGATTCTGTGAGCAGATGTGCAACTGGCAAAGGTGGTTGCTACCGAGTCTTTTTCGCAACGTGTCTCCGCTGTGGCCCATGTATCAAATAACCAATCCTTACCCCGTTGCACCCTGACCAAGCAGCTTCTGCTCTCGACGGGTGCCGGAGGCAACCCTCTAAACCCTTCGGGACCCAACGATAGCAGTTCAATAGCAGTACCCTGAGCTTCTGCAAGAAAGTAAAGTCAACTAGGAGATGAGCAACACGACCACAAAGATTGCAACAAACGGTGGGGAAATTATTAGTATTGTTATTATTATTATTATTATTACTATTATTATTATTATGATTATAACTACTACTATTATTATTATTATTATTATTGTCATTATTATTATTATTATTATTATTATTATTCTTATTATGATTATTATATGATAATCATGATTATAGTAGCATTATTATTATAGTATCATAGTATCATAGTATTATAGTATTATTATTATCTGATGCCATCCTTCTCCCGAGGCCAAGTCGGTGGTCAACAGCGGGCTGAGCGCTCGCTGCCTCGTTCAGCCACTCGGCTCCCCTTGCTGCCACGGATACAGTGCTACTATAACTCTACTCTGTGAGAGTGTGTGTCTGGTCAGGGCAAAGGAGACAACTGATCCGCAAACGAGTAGATTCTTGCTGAAAAGGAAACCCCAAAGCCTAAATCCCAAGCCCTAAACCGCTTGTTCCGGAAGGCTGTCCTACGCCATCGGTGTGGCCAAGCCTCTGTCTCTCTTCGTGGAGACCTACGGCAGCGATCCTCGGCAAATCGAAATTATTTTCGGGGTTTCGGTGCGCGGGGGTTTCCTGAGGGCTCTGGGGGCGCATTTTGGAACGTCTGCAAGGATTCACTAGACAGCGTGATGCTCTGCAACTCCCACTGCCGCTGAAAGCCTGAAGTCTAAACCCTCGTAAGCATTCAAGCTGCAAGCCAGGAGAAGGGCGCACTTTCTGTCGACGACATCACCAACCTGCTCAAGGTGCAGCAGGATAAGATCGTTGTTTCGAAGGTTTGCATTTTGGCTGTTATTTCTGTTGCCTTCCATACAGCTGGTGCTGTTCTGGATGTTGCGGTTGTAGTTATCATTGCTGTCCTTGTGCATGATCGTATCTGCGCTGTGACTGTTATTGCCGTTGTAGTAACTACAGTGTCCCCACAGTTTTTGTTTCTATGATCGCCGACATCGGCAAAACATCAGACGCATCAGTTATGCTCATTCGCTGTTGCTGCCACAGTAGTTTTAAGCATTATTTTTGCCGGTGAAAGACTACGCGGCTGAAGAAGTTCAGGTTACGGTTCTTTGTGAGAAACCTTGGCTCGTCGTCCCGAGCCCCCCCGTCACACAAAAGAAAAACCTGTACTACACTGTACGCATGCATACATAATATGTACCCCAAGTCGCGAAACGTCCTAAAGCCTGAAACCATCTGAAACCCTAATTCCCGGAACCTTAAGTTACTAAGACCCTGAAGTCTACAAGCCTCAAAGTCCAGCAGAACTCCGTTCTACTGAAACCTTCTTATGAGCCTCCTTCGTTTCAGACGCTGTTAGATACAACATTCTACATGTTATTTATAACATACAAGATACACTATTATATAATCTATAGTGTATGAAGTGGAACGTGCGCTGTCCGGCCGCCAAAGTGCCTTCCCCTGGGCAGATCGAGTTCGACTGCCGACCTGGTGCCATCGCTCAGAGCTTGGCGCTCCGGGAGCCCAAGTACCAGGAGCTGCCGAAGAAAGTATATAATGGGCTATATAACAGCTTTTTTTCCGGGTATATACCTAGGGGTCCTTATTAAGGGTCCCTCCTTTTTAGGTTTCTGAGGGGCCGAAAAGGTTTCTGGGCAGCTGTGAAACTCCTCAAAATGGTACGGGCCGTGTACTCGTTCGACTTAAATTGTGTGTGTGTGTGTGTGTTTTTTGTTTTTCTGCGGGTGGGTTTTCGTTCGCATCCGTGCAAGCCAAGCCTCAAACCCTGAGGCACCTAAATCCTATCACCTAGGCCTTTGTGTGTGAAGTTCTTTTCGGGCGCCGTAGCTTTGCAAAGCTCAGCCCGCATGCCCTGAAACAAAGCCCATAATGACCGGAAGTCTTGAAACCCAAAGGATTTGGGTTTCAGGGGGGCCTTTTTGGAGGCGTATTTTGTATGAGAAAGGGTTCAAGTTATTTGGGCTTTACATGCCTCTGCGAGGTTTGAGGCCGCGGGTTGCGTCTGAGTGCATTCCTCTCATGTAGTAGAACTCCTTTTCAGGGTTTGGGGGTTGGGGTCATGAATCCCCACACTGGCCCCTACAGCTTGAATTGCGAAACATGAATCCTCGCATATGGTCACTGGACGACCAGCTCGGTTCGATGATGAAGCCCGCCTCCATCAGCATCCATCGTCTACCTAAGGACCTAAACCCTGCCATGCCATCAGTCTTCAGGATTTCCTGTGTTGTTGAAGGCTTTCGGGTTGTAGTAGGGATTTGGGCTTTGTGGTTTGTAGGAAACCCCATACAACGCACGAGAATTGCTGGCCCCACAGACAGCCTGCAAACAGAGCTGTAGTAGGTTAGACGGCAGCACCAAGCCCACCCAAAAAGCGTTTTGGGGTCCACCCTGCAGCCCATGGCCCCAACCCACAGGACACTGCCGCCTACTGCCACTTCGGACGTGAGCCGGTCACCAAGAACGGCATCAAGTTCTTCGAGTGGGAGAATGCCAAGGACTTTTTGACTTGATGGGCATCTGGAGAGCTGCGAGCCACACTACGCCGAGCTTGAAGTTCAGTTTAGGGCTCTTGGGTAGGCCAGGCAAGAAACTCTGAAACCGCTTGAGTGTCCTGAGCCGCATGTCTCTGCCCCGCTCCCTTCTCCTAACCCCCCAAAGAAGGAATCCTGCCAAGTTTCAGAAATCCCAATGCCATGTGTCTTGGGAGGACCTGAAGAAGTATGCCTCCATGAACTCCGATCAGGTCACCGCGGCCCTGAAGAGCAGCAACTACCTCACCAAGTGGGTGGACTAAGAAGCGCCGGTTCCAAGGGACACGGTAGGAGAAGGAGCTTCAATGCAGGAAGGAAAGGCTCGGTAGTCTCAGGAAATAGCCAAAGGCCATAGACTAGGCTCATGCTCCTTACGTTTGAAACATAGCTTTAACTCATCCTCGAAGAACCTTGAGACCTTGGACCCTACGCACGGTTTTAGGAGCACGGCACCTCAGCCGGTGTCGGAAGCCCCAGATCCGCCGATGGAGCAAACTTCTCGGCGCGTTGGGCCTCGAGATCCGGCTGTTTCTCGGTGCTGATCCGCAGGAAAAGTGGATGAAAACGGCGTGTTTTATGCCCAGGATGCAGCTGCAGGGGCGTGCGTAGCGTAACTGCATTCGTTGCCGGCTTAGCGTTACATTTTCATCTTTGCTTCTTCTTGATCTCATGGCTTCTGTGATTATATCTCTTTGTCCTTCTCTCTCCGTCTCTCTGTCTCTCTGTCTCTCTGTCTGTCTGTCTGTCTGTCTGTCTGTCTGTCTGTCTGTCTCTCTCTCTCTCTCTATACGTATGTGTGTATATATATACACACATACACACATAAGATATATGCATGCGCCTATTTGTTCTTACCAGCAGGGTTTAGCGGTGTCGTGGTTATCACTTGCGCTACAGACGCTACGACGGCGGAGGACAACGGCCGCTACACACATGAGGAAAAACATTTAAGACGAATCAAACACATTCAATACTTATTCATGTAGTTCCAGGAAATAGTGGCGGGGGGGGGGCTCCGAGCTTGCCGAGGTCTGCCGCCAGTCACCCTAGACCTGAAACAGACTGGACCAAGATATCCTTGAACGGTAATCTTGGATCTTGGATCTCCTTTTTTGCTGTTGGGACGACTCTAGTGGTAACGAACAGCCTGCAGCTCCCACATGGGCTACTGGCCTGAAGCCGGAAACTCCTGTAACCCCTATAAACCCTAAATCGAGCCCGACATCCGGTGACACGAAGTCCTTCGTAGCTGCTCGTATAGTCGCACCAACAACGATCATACCAACAAGAACCATCCGAGCAGCCAGCGTGGTTCTCACATGAATCAAGAAACATAGTAATTCCCATATTCGCCAAAATCCCGGTGCTTGCACGATCCAGTGGTCAGTATTTGCATGATGTACACACTTGCAGTGGGTGTAGCATGGTGTAGCTGTGATTGGCAAATGGCCCTTGTTATATTGAGCGGAGTTATATAGTAAGCACTACTGCACTTGCCAGCTGTGTTGAAGGATGCACGGTGTAAATGCGATCTGCTACAGGCGGCGGAATCGCAACGCCAGGTAGAGCGCTGGCGGAGCGAGGCAGATTATCTGAGGGAGGGGGGTGGCCTTCCGTCAAACATGTTAGTTAGTTGCTGGTGGCCACGTGTGCTGATGAACCCAGAGCATCGGCTGCTGCATCGGCAAGCAGCCCAACTTGTCCCGAAAATTGCAGCGCACTCCCAGAAGGCGGACCTAAGAAAGAACGCTGGTAACTTCTAAATCTGAGCTACAAAATCCTTGGAATGCATCCTTGGCATGCGAAGCTCTGAAAAGATGAGGCAAAGGGACTTTGGGATCGCATTGCTGGTGCTCTGCAAGGAGGCATAGAATCACACAATGGGACAAAGCCACAATAGAAAAGAAGTCAACAGTGATACGATGAGAACAGAAACAAGAGGTGGTCCAGCTGCATGCTGCCTTGGCTGCGGAGGACGGCCTGGATCGGATCATAGTGGACTGACCAGAAACCCTACGCTCGGCGTGAATCAATGTTGAGGCTGTTTCCGATATTTGTGGTGGAATTGGGATGTTGGGTGGTCCCGCTTACAAGGAGAGGGCTTTGTGTGGCGACTCCGTCTTTGCAACGGGTTTCTGACTTGACTCCAGGACCAGCGCCCTCAGAACTCATGAAACTCAGATGCCTGCTGAACTCCCGGCATTTGCGCCTTCTTGTTCCCCCAAACCCTTGTTTTAAGAGCGTCTCTCGTCTTGGGACCTGCAGCATTTCAGCTCTGTGCCGTCATGAAGCCCAAATTCTGACAAGTGGCGCTTATCCATGAAGCCTAGGTAAACGGGGCGTCTACCCTCTCCAAGTCTGATCTGATCAGCCTGATCCCCCCCCCATCACAACGCTCGGAGTGTTCAGGGCCAAAGGGTCTTCAATATCCCAAGTCTGAAGCTCCAGTCCTTGGTTTTCTCCATCTGGCAAGCACCCACCACCCCAACGAAATCCCTCGGCGCCATGGCCGCCGATGAGACGGGAGAATCCCCAAGCGGGCTGCAGCAGCTCATGCTCTTCAGGCCACACTCTGTTTGCTGTTATACGTGGTGCGAGGGAAGTTTGTTCTGACCGTTGTTGTCTAAAGGCCTCGGAACAAGGAATATAAAGGAAGTCTTAGAAAGTAGTGGTGGTAGTTACATAGTTGGTTTCGATGTGAGGGTGTTGGGGATAGGAATTTGAGAATCTGCAGCTGCCCGTTTACGATTGAAGCGCTTCGGGTTTGAAGGAAACCCGAACCCCAAACCCTGAACTCGGCCTTGAAGTTCAGGTTTCCTGAAGAATGCTCCGAAAGCCCACAAGCCTGGACCTTGACGATTTCAACCTTTGAACCCACATTTTAAAGAACCCTGAAACTCTGGAACACGTTAAAGAAAGCACCATTGAAATCATTGACTGCCCTATACAACCCTTTACAAGATGCCGATACAACCCTAGAATCCCGAATATCCCTTCCTTTGATGCCCTTGTGCAAAGCCTAGACGGACCTAACCCCCGAGCAGGCATTGGTCCCTTTTCTTGCCTCGGCTTACTTCAGAGCCTGCGAAGCTGAACGGGGCCTATACGCTGATGCGACAGCACCTGGGCTGTTGTTTTAGGGCGGGCTGGCAGGTCATAGGGTTTATGGTCACAAGGGTTTTGGTGCTCGCAGGGCTACGGTTTCAGGGTCCGCAGGCTCTGTCGACCTTAATAATATCTTATATTAATATTGATTGGCCCTAAACACCCGCAAGCCCTCAACCCCAAAACCCCAAACCCAACCCCCCCCCCCCCCTCCGCATCCCAAAAGTCCCAAAGCCGTCTATATGACCTCAGCTGAGCAACGAGGAACCCCTATGGACCGTAATGTTGTTGAAATCCACGCATGCCTCAGGCAGCGCAACCCTGCCTTCTTTGACCAGCTGCGGGAGAAGCTGCACCCCGTGTGAAGGGATTCAGGCTTTGGGGCTCGTTTTGAGATTTATTGAAGGTTCAAGGCTTCGGGGGTGTCGGCTTGGGTGTAGTCGTTGGGGTTTGGACCTTCAGTCGAAGGGTCAGGATGTAGTGCCCAGGGTCCCTGGCCACCCCAATCCTAAGTTCTGAGACCTTCGAAAATGATTGGAATTTGCATACTTGTTCTGGTTTAGACACCTTCTTTCGACGGATTCGCCTTTTCGTGTTTTGAGTCGACTCCCCGTGGGGTTTGGTTTGTTTGTCTCGTCCCCTCTTCCCTTCCTCGGTCCTCCCTCTCGTCTCTCTCCTGCTCTGCTCTCTGCTCCTTCTGCCTTTCTGTGCTCCTTCCTCGTGCCGTCTCTTTGCCCGCTTCTCTCAGCTCACTGCTCGTGTTTGTGCAGTGTTGGTGCAGTAACTGGGCGGGTGGTCTTCACAGGCCGTGGCGACCCGACTTCGACTTCGTGGGGGGGGGGTGGGGGAGATTGTATATATGGAAGACCATCGCCCCCCTCTTGGGATGCCCTGACCGCCGTCAAGACTGAATGGGATGTAGGCATTTTTAAAGATGGTGTCTCGGGAGTCTCCCCCATAGAAAGAAAGTGGAACGAGACACATGTAATTTGATGCGCTGCTGAGAGGCGGCCTGCAATCTTTCGCCTTTGCGCATGAAACACCTGCTCAAGACTACGGTGGCGCCCGAGCTTAAAGAGGCTACTGCCCATGACCCGAATGGCCCCCAGATTTGGGTCCTCCTTTCCCAAGGGGAAGTGAGACGGAAGCGTCGCAGGGCTGAAGGAGCTGCCGGTCTGACTTCTACCACAGGTGGGCAAGTGTCGGGGCTTGGGTGGTGGCAAAGGCCAGGGCGGTCGGGAGCGGGGACGCAGACGAGAAACTGATGCTTCCCGCACGTCCTTTTTCATTTAAGCCATCTTCGCTCGGCATGGGTGAATAGCCGTTTCGCGATGTAGCTCGCAGTATCATGGTCCAGCTCTGTGCTTGCGCTGTCTGAGTGTTCCATGCATGTGCACGGATTCAGTTCGTGTTTGCTTGTGGCTGAGGGTTCCTCCTTTCCCCTCCCTTCCTCCTTTCCTCCCTCTTCTCGCCCTTTGCCTCTCTCCCTTGCTCTCCCTCCCTCTTTTCTCTGCTGGTCCCTATGTCTTCTAGGATGTGCTCTGCAGGTTTGTCGTTTGTGAGTGTCAGATTTGTTCCGTTTTTGAGGAGTCAGACCGGCCCTGGCGAAATCGGACAGCAGCCCTCGGCGTGGGGTCAGGGTGTAGCTGCACGGTTTTTTTGATGATCAACGCTGTCAATGTCATGCCTGCTGTGACCTGTGTGCCGTGCAGGCTAAGAGGGGCCATGCGACCCTCATGCAGACGTCAGCCTCTGGAATCCACCAGAGGTATCACCTTTCTTGAGTTCACAATCGATTTTGAAGTTTCGACCGGCATAGCCCTACCGGGCAGTGCTAAGCGCCTCCAACAGGCTGGCGCCAAACGCATTCGGCGTGGCACATCTCAGGTCGTCCGCACCGGTTTTGACAGTGCTCCTTCACAGACAACCGCGCCCGCAACAAGCAAGGCCTTTCTAACCATCTGCGTGAGAAGCACCCTGTTGCGGCCTCTAGTTGGACTTGCCCGCATTGCGGTAAGGTTTATAAGAAGCATAAGGGTTATTACACCATGCACCTGGAGGCCACCGCAGGCCCCTGCGCGAGCCGCTGCTCGCTCCAGTTCTTCTCGTGACTTTGTTTGTTCTTACCGCGCGTGCGGACTCACTTTTGTTAGTGCCT